GTGCAGGGCTGGATGAACACAGCAGGCCAAGCAGCATCATAGGAGCAGAGAGGCTGACGTTTCGGGCCTAGACCCTTCATCAGAAAAGGGGGAGGGGAAGGGGGTTTTGAAATAAATAGGGAGAGAGTGGGAGGCGGATAGAAGAGGGATAGAGGAGAGGATAGGTGGAGAGGAAACAAACAGGTCGAAGAGGCGGGGATGGGGCCAGGAAAGGTGAGTGTAGGTAGGGAGTTAGGAAGGGGATAGGTCAGTCCAGGGAGGACGGACAGGTCAAGGGGGTGGGATGAGGTTGGTCGGTAGGAGATGGAGGTGCGGCTTGGGGTGGGAGGAGGGGATAAGTGGGAGGAAGAACAGGTTAGGGAGGCAGGGACGAGTTGGACTGGTTTTGGGATGCGGTGGGGGGAGGGGAGATTTTGAAACTTGTGAAATCCACATTGATACCATTGGGCTGCAGGGTTCCCAAGCGGAATATGAGTTGCTGTTCCTGCAACCTTCGGGTGGCATCGTTGTGGCACTGCAGGAGGCCCAGGATGGACATGTCGTCTGAGGAATGGGAGGGGGAGTTGAAATGGTTCGCGACTGGGAGGTGCAGTTGTTTGTTGCGAACCGAGCGTAAGTGTTCTGCAAAGCGGTCCCCGAGTCTCCGCTTGGTTTCCCCGATGTAGAGGAAGCCACACCGGGTACAGCGGATGCAGTATACCACATTGGCAGATGTGCAGGTGAACATCTGCTTGATGTGGAAAGTCTTCTTGGGGCCTGGGATGGGGGTGAGGGAGGAGGTATGGGGGCAGGTGTAGCACTTCCTGCGGTTGCAGGGAAAAGTGCCGGGTGTGGTGGAGCTGGAGGGGAGTGTGGAGCGGACAAGGGAGTCACGGAGAGAGTTGTCCCTCCGGAAAGCAGATAAAGGTGGGGAGGGAAAGATGTCTTTGGTGGTGGGGTCGGATTGCAGATGGCGGAAGTGTCGGAGGATGATGCGTTGGATCCGGAGGTTGGTGGGGTGGTACGTGAGGACGAGGGGGATTCTTTTTTGGTTTTTATTGCGTGGACGGGGTGTGAGGGATGAGGTGCGGGAGATGTGGGAGACACGGTTGAGGGCGTTCTCGACCACCGAGGAGGGGAAGTTACGGTCCTTGAAAAACGAGGACAACTGAGATGTACGGGAGTGGAATGCCTCATCCTGGGAGCAGATGCGGCGGAGGCGAAGGAATTGGGAATAGGGGATAGCATTTTTGCAGGAAGGTGGGTGGGAGGAGGAGTATTCTAGGTAGCTGTGGGAGTCGGTGGGCTTGAAATGAATATCGGTTTCGAGGTGGTTGCCCGATATGGAGACAGAGAGGTCCAGGAAGGGGAGAGAGGTGTTAGAGATGGTCCAGGTAAATTTAAGGTTGGGGTGGAAGGTGTTAGTGAAGTGTATGAACTGTTCGAGCTCCTCGTGGGAGCACGAGGCGGCACCGATACAGTCATCAATGTAACGGAGGAAGAGGTGGGGTTTAGGGCCGGTGTAGGTACGGAAGAGGGATTGCACAAGGAGTGGACCAATGTGTCCCGGAAAGAACGGTCCTTGCGGAAGGCTGACAAGGGAGGGAATATGTGTCTGGTGGTGGCGGCGGCATCCTGGCTACTAATGATCCTCTGAATGTGGATGCTGGTGGGATGGTAGGTAAAGACAAGGGGGATCCTATTGCTGTTGTGGGAGGGAAGAGATGGGTTGAGGGCCGAAGTGTGGGAGATGAGTTGGACCCAGTTGAAGGCTCTGCCAAAACGGTGCTGGGGAATCCTCAGTTGAGGAAGAAGGTGGATGTTTCAGAGGCTCCCAAATCGAAATTGGCGTCATCAGAACAAATGTGATGGTGATGGAGGAACTGGGAGAATAGAAGAGAGTCTTTACAGGAAGTAGGGTATGAGGATGTATAGTCAAGGTAACTGTGGAAGTTGGTTGGTTTGTAGTGGATATTAGTGGCCAACCTGTCCCCAGAAATGGAAATAGATGTTGAGGAAGGGAAGGGAGGAGTCAGAGATAGACCAGGTGAACTTGAGAGTGGGGTGGAAATTGGAAGTGAAATAGATAAATTTTTCCAATTCTGTGCAAGAGAGGCAAACAGCACCGATGATATCACTGATGCCCTGGAGAAAGAGTTGTGGGTGGGGGGCCAGAATAAGACTGGAACAAGGAATGTTCCATGCATAACTGGGGACCATGTGGGTACCCATGGCCAACCCTTTGATGTGAAGGAAGTGAGAGAAGTTAAAAGAGAAGTTGTTAAGGGTGATGCTGAGCTTGGCCAGGCAGAAGAGGGTGGTAGTGGATGGGGACGGTTTAGGCCTTCCAGGAAGGGGCAGAAAGCTCCAAGACCATCCTGATGGGGGATGGATGAGTAAAGGGGTTGCACATCCATGGTAAAAAGGAGGCAGCTGAAGCCTGCAAACTAGAAATTTTGAAACTGACATAAAATGTCAGAGGAATTGCAGATGTAAGTGGGAAGAGACTAGACCAGGGGAGAAGAAATCGAGTTGATGGAGGAAGAGTTGAATTCTGTGGGGCAGGAACAACCAGAAACATTGGGTCTGCACGGGCAATACTGTTTGTGGATTTTGGGGAGGAGGTAGACGTGGGATGTGTGGGGTTGGGAGACTATGAGCTTGGAGGCGGTATGGAGGGAGATCACCAAGTGAAATAATGGAACTGCGTTGATCTTACAGCATAGAAACCGGAAATTCAATGTAACAGGCCCATGCTCTCGAAGATTATTTATCTTTTTGTTTTTGATGACTCCCTTAGCCTGGCTATATAAAATCCACAGGCCCTCTTTAACAGAAAGCATACAATTTTCTGCATAAATCTTAGTTATATAATTAAATGTTTTTTCATATTTTTATTTTAATTAATGTTGCTGGTGTTGAACAATTTTCTCAAGAATGAAAGATACCTTTGATTTTTTTTTAAAAGATAAAAGTCAAAAATTGATTGATCAAAAACAGGTCGAATACGAAATAAAATGTTTAGCCAAAAGTTGAAAATAATTTTGAAGGACTAAATGTAATTTGGGACCTGCCTGAGAGAGACTGCTGCCTCCTGAGTATAGTGGCTTGGAATTGCTTTCATTAATGATTTTCCCTTGTTCACTTTTCCTGATCCTTATGCCCATAACTGGATGACTTTTTATCCCTCCAGGAGTGACTTGTTCATTCTGCCATGTGCTATTTGCCTTACAATGGCCCTGATTGAGCAAGGGAAGAGGATGAAATGGCAACTGGTGCTGACCTATGGTTCTGGCAATACACGCTAGTTGGATCACCTCCAGGTGAACAGCATGTGAAATGGCTGTCTTTCTGAGATGCAGAGGACATTACACAACGTGTGTAGCTGCATCTTTGCTGGGCAAAGTGTCAGCAGTAAAGTAGAAAATTGCTTTTTCCCCTCATAATTCTTAGGATCTGTGCTTGATCATCTTGTGTCATCATCTAGGTTAGCCAAGGTGAAGGGTACCCACTGCTACCAGAACTAACATGCTTGGCACTGTTGTGTTGGCTAGATATTCTCCAAACCAATCAAGGCAGTCCTATTAAAACTTAATCATCTGCAGATGGCACCAGTAACCATGCCTTGGTGACTGATTTTCTATTCATTGGCTGCTAGATTAGAGATGATCAAGTCGACCGTGCTTTCTGTTTAGCGTTCCAAGTTGGTGACCTCCCAACAGAGAGGTCTGCAGACTGCTAATTGACAAACGTTTGGTCTCTGCTATTTGCCCCAGTTGGCCCATGTGGTAGCAAGTCATATGTTCTTACTTGCTCTGAATTGAGAAGTTTATCCTGAATTCCTGATTGGATTCATTTCCAATGATTTTATTTTGATGGCAACTACTTTTACAAATAAAAATATCTCTATATCAACCTTCACACAAGTAAAGACCGATATTGAATTACAAATCTGCCTTCATGTGGAAGGAACGGGTTTCAGTTCATGGCTCACTGGCCCCAGGACTAGGGTAGTTGTTCCAGTTGGATGTGCTTCACTGGAATGATTTTGGGACCTGAGCCCTCGTAACTTTAATACCCAAGGCTATATTAAGGACTTCAAAGTAATTAGAGGGGGGAAACAGTTCGGGAGGAGAGATACATAGGCCTACAAATCAAAAGGATATGGCAGCATTGCAGGTCAAATGTTTTGACAATGATACCCAGAGTGGGACAGGGAGGGACGGAGAATACAAGCATTAAAAAAAAGTAGCAAATAAGGTCAAAGTGTGAAAAGTGGTAAAATCACAAAATATAGTGGCTTTTTATTTAAACCCACATATGATTTGGAATAAAGTAAAATAATTACCAGTGGAAATTGACTTTTTATTTCATTCATGGGATGAGGGCATTGCTTGCTAGGCCAGCATTTATCGTCCATCCCTAACTTCCCAGAGAGCTGTTGAGAGTCAACCATATTGCTGTGGGTCTGGAGTCACATGTTGGCCAGACCAGGTAAGGATGGCAGATTTCCTTCCGTAAGAGACATTAGTGAACCAGATGATTTTTCAACAAACGACAATACATTCATGGTCATCATTAGACTCTTAATTCCAGATTTTTTTACTGGATTCACATGCTACCATCTGCCGCAGTGGGATTCAAACGTGGGTCCTCAGAACATTACCTGGGTTTCTGGATTAAGCGTTTAATGATAATGCTATTCGGCCATCACCTCCACATGATTGGTATGATCTTATAGCCATATGGAGACGATGGTTACAAGGCAGTAAATAATGGGAACTAAATATTCAGGGATATGTGACATTTCAAAAGGGCAGGAAATGAAGGGTGGTGGGGTAGTTTTGTTAGTATGCAATGGAGTAAGTAAAATAGCAAAAATGATTTTGGAGCAGAAGATATTCATGCCTGGAGGTAAAAAAATGAGGAAGTAGATGCTGGTGAAAGTAATCTGTCGGCCCTTAACAGTAACTGCTCTGTAGAACAGAAAATAAATTGAGGTAAGGACATGTAAAAAGAAAGGACAGAACATAAATCATTTATGTGTTTAATCTGCATATTGGCAGAGGTAGCCATGAGGAAGAATTCATGAAGTTTATTCAGAACAATTTTCTGGAACAATATTGAAGTTCTAATCTGGGATCAACTATTTTGGATCAGGTAATTTGTAATGAAGTAGATTTAATAAATGATCTCAGAGTAAGAGATCCCTTAGGGAATAGTAACCAAAAACATGGTAGAATTCAGTGTTCATATTGAGAGTGAGAAACTTGAGTTGGAAACAACTGTGCTAAATGTAACTAAAGATAATGATGTGAGGATAAGGGCAGAGTTAGCTGGAGTGAACCAAGAAAGGAGATTAGCATGGTTGAGATACAATGAAGACATTTATGCAAGCAGTTCATAATGCCACAGCAAAGACATATTCCAACGAGGAAGAAGGATTCTAGAAATGAGATACGTTGACCACGATTAACCAAGTAAGCTCAGGATAACATTAGATTGAAAGAAAAGAAAACAAAACATACAATGTTGCAAAGATTAGTGGTAAACAAAAGGACTGGAAGAGTTTCAAAAGCCAACACAAAGCTGTCCAAAAATGTACAAAGAGGGACAAAATAAATTATGAGGGCAAACTAATAAGTAATATAAAAACAGTAAGAGCTTCTTTAAATATATAAAAAGGAAGGGAGAGGGCAAAGTGAACATAGGCCCCTTAAAGAATGAGGCAGGTGAAATAATAATGGGAAAACAGTAAATGGCAGAGGAGTTGAATAAAAAATTTTCATTATTCTTCACATTAGAGGACACTAATAGCATTCCAATGATACAAAGTAATGAAAGTGCTAAAGTGGGGAAGGAGAGGAAGTAAATACAGTAATTATCACCAGAGTAAAAGTACAAGGAAAACTAATGGGCTAAAAAGAAATAAGCCCCTGGACCTGATGGGTTGCATCCTAGAATTTTAAAGTGAGTAGCTGCAGAGAAAGAGGATGTAAACTGACAGTAATCTTCCAAGAATCCTTAGATTCTGGAAAATTCCCAGAGGATAGGAAAGTGGCCAATGTGACACCTTATTCAAAAAGGGACGAAAACAAAAACATGTAACTGTAGGCTTGTTAGTTTAACATCTGTCATTGGGGAAAATGCAGTGGTTTATTGTATATAATAGCAATGTATTGTATATAATATATAATAACGGATATAATAGCAAAACATTTAGAAATGCATAATATAATCAAGTAGATGCAGTGTGGTATCATGAGGTACAATTATATCTGACAATTTCATTAGAATTCTTTGACAAGATAATAAGCAGGATAGATAAAGGGTGTTATGGACCAGACCAAATCCCCTTAAACTATTCAGAAGACAGTCTAGACCCTAACTTTTCCTTATCTTAAAGGTAAGTGTAAGGTGTTGCCTTCCAAATATCATTCGATTGGTCAAACTGCCAGATTTAAAGTAAAACAATTTGTTCATCCACTGTAGTTAAAATACTCTACTGGAAAACTTAACAGAACAATACATACAGTAACTATTATTAATTAATTGTTCCAAATAGCATCATCCCATTACCACACCCTTGGCAAATGGCAAATTCAGAATACAGATTGTCTCAAGTGCAGTTCTCCAATTCAGGGGAAAAGGATATCAAAGGACAATTTCGGGAGAGAGAAAACTCTAACTTTCAGCTGCAGCAGAGAGAGATGTGGCAGCTTTTCACAATCCTGGCAGCTTCTGCTCAAAGCTAAACTCTTCAGGCTGTGTCTATTGTTTCATTTTTTGTTTAAAAATGTACCCTAAGGCCTTACAAGCAGTTTACCCTAGTGGTTCTGGTAGACTGCTTTCCACCTCTGCCTTAAAAACGTCCCTCCAAAAAGCCACAGCACCATCACAGGGAGAACCAGTGGATGTTATACATTTGGATTTCCAAAGGGCATTTAATAAAGTACCACTCATAACTCTACTGAATAAGGTAAAAATCCACGGCCTCTGGGGTAGTATGTTAACACGGTTAGAGGTCTGGCTGACCAGTAGAAGACAGAGAGTTAGGAAAAGGGGCATTTTCAGGATGGCAATCTGTAACTGCTGGAGTGGCATAGGGATCAGTGCTGTGATCACAGTTATTTACCAATATGTATTAATTACTTGGATGAGGAAGTTGAATATACTATTGCCAAATTTGTGGATGACACAAAAATAGGTGAGAACGCAAGTGGTGAAGATGATGCAAAGTGTCTACAGAGGGATATAGACGGGTAAGCTGAGTTGGCAAAAACTTGTAGGTGGAATATAATGTGAGAAAATGTGAGGCAATACTGGAACACGCTGCCTGGAAGGGTGGTTGAAGCAGATTCAATTGTAACAACCAAGAGGCAAGTGGGTACATCCTGAAAAAGATCTGCAGTGAAACAGAAGGGACTGATTGGGTAGTTCCTTTACATAGATGAATACAATAGGCTGAATGCCCTTCTTTGGCTGAGGGAAAACCAGTTAAACTTGCAAATGACATATGCTGATCTGATCTGTTTTGCACATCTTTGATGTGCTCCAGCATGACCTGACCGTTTCCAAGTATTACTTTTGAAAACAAAACTTTTATTTTCTCTCTTGGGCACTCTATAAAGGGGTGGGTTCTGGAGAGACCAGACCAATGTCCTTGAGAGTTTCTTCAATGAAGCTTCATTTGCAATTCCTTACGCTTTGCACGATCATAAACATGAGTATACTTTCAATAATATGTTTGGCAAGGGATTCTTGTGAACACCTCTCTCCACCCCCCAGGCTTTGCATTGCAGGCATTTGGGAATATAAACTGGCAGTTTTCCTGTGATTTGTGCTTTCAGTGATGATGAGTCAGCCTATGTTGCGAAATAGCTGAGCAGTCCTTCAACTGTTGAAGCGAATGTCCACAGGAGCAGATTTCCACACACAGCACAGCAGCTCATCATGGCTCTCTTCTCTTCTCTGACCCCTGTTATTATTGCACTGATGTGCATTTGCTTGGCTGCCCTGTGGAGTAGTAGGCGAAAAGCAAGGAGAGATCGAAAAGTGGAAACCGAAGACAGAGTTAATTCCAAACCCTGGACGGATGAAGATCTGCGAGATGAGACAGAGCTCGCAGTGGACGAGAAGGGTAAGGTTAAAAACAAACTAGCACTGGACGCTAATTTGATTGTGAAAATGGCAGTGAAATTGAGCTTGAGAGGAATAGAAACTGTTGGAACAGGAAGCACCCACTTGGCCTCATCGATCCTGTTCTGCTAAATCATTAGAAATCATAAGACTTCAGGTTATATTTGAAAACGTTTATTTGAAAACGCAAGCTTTTGGAGCGTAACCCCTTCGTCAGGTGAAGTGAGAAAGAAGCACACAGACGCAGAATTTATAAGTAAAAGATCAAAGGGTCACACAACTTATGAGGATGTATTCAACAAACCTAAGATACTGTTAAATCTTTAATAAGTTAGAAGGTTTTAATTGATTAATATCCCTGAATTTCTTTCAGGTCACTGCCCTGAGAGAACTAAAGGTTTATCAGTGTAAAGAAGAGGTGACATTTTAGGTCAGACAATGCATGTTAGGTGTGCTGCCTTGTTTAGAACCTGTTTGTGTTTTGGTTTGGAGTCAGACTGGTTTTATTTCTAAAGCAGGGATTTATAAAATGCACATGCACACTCTCTCTCCCCTCCACCCACCCACACGCACACACTTTTTTCTCTCTCTCTCTCTCACACACACACAAACTCACACACTCTACCCCCCTCACACACATGCATGCACACACACTTTTTCTCTCTCCCTCTCTCACTCTTTTTCTCTCCCCCTTTCACACACACACATACACACACAGTCTCCGCCCCTCTCACACACATGCACGCACACACACACGCTCTCTCCCACCCCCACACAGACAGACAGATGCACACACACACAATGTCTATCTTCCCCTCCCCCTCACACATGTATACACACACTCTGCTCCCCCCCGTGCACACAGTCTCTCTTCTCTCTCTCTGTCTTTCTCTCCCTCTCTTCCCCCTCTCTCTCTCTTCCCCCTCTCTCCCTCACACACTCTCTCTCTCTCCCCCCCATTCTCTCTCTCTCACACACTTTGTCTCTCTCTCTTACTCCCCCACCCTCTCTCCCACCTCCCTCTCTCTCTTTCTGTCACTCACACACACACATCTATGGGGTGAATTTGCAGATGCATTCAATTCTGTTCAAAAAGCATGCAATGACCCTTTGATCTTTTACTTAGAAGTTATGTGTTCTGTGTGCTTCTTTCTCACTTCACCTGATGAAGGGGCTACGCTCCAAAAGCTTGTGTTTTCGAACAAACCTGTTTAACTATAACCTGGCATTGTGTGATTTCTGACCTTGCCCACTCCTGTCCAACACCGGCACCTCCACATCACTGCTAAGTCATAGCTGATGTGAATCTCAGACCTCATCTTAATCCCCTAATTTTGAGCCCATCAATCTTGGTTTTGAAATGTTTAATTCACTCAAGCTGAACAATATCTTGGAGAAGAGAGTTCCACATTTCCACAATCCTTATCATGAAGAAATCACGTCTCTGAACAGCCAAATTTTAACTTTAAAGTTTTATATCTGGACTGGCCCAGCTGAGGAAATAGGGTTGACAGGGTAGATGGAGAAAAGCTATCTATTATCTTAAACATATAAAAACCTGTAACAGGGTGGCTCAATGGTTAGCATTGCTGCCAGGGACCTGAGTTCGATTCCACTCTTGGGCAGGCATTCACACCATGTCTGCATGGGTCTCCTCTGGGTGCTCTGGTTTACAGCAACAGTCCAAAGATGTGCAGGTTAGGTGGATTAGCCATCAATATAGACTTTGTCCCGGATAAGAAAAGGTCATGTGAGAGAAAACACAGACTTTCACTGCTTTTAAATGTGGAATGTAAGAACGTGCCTGTTAGCTATTAACTCAGTAAATCAACTTCCACCTCTAATACTATAAAAAGATAATTTACTGATTCTGCCGTCAATGTGCGCTTTGGTAACAGATGCCAAGACCAGAGCTAGGCTTGTAATGTTTATGTACAAATACGTAAAAAAGCACAGCATAAAAAAAGACCATTTGGTCCATCTAGCACCTGCTGGTTATTCATGCTCTATACAAGCCTCCACCTAGCCCTCTTCGTTCAACGCTATTGGTATAACCTGCATTTCCTAGGTTTTCACACATCCATCTAATTTTGCCTTAAATGCTTTATTCTCAGCAAATTACTCTTTGTGATACTGAGGTTCACATTTTAGCCACTGCCTGGCTAAAGATGTTTCTGCTGAATTCCCAATTGAATTTCTTAGTTATAGCCTTATACTTGACCCCTAATCTTCATCTCTTCCATATGTAAATTGATTACACCAACCAGTACATTTAGAAGGCACAGTTGGGTCCTGACCCTAAACGTCAGCTTTCCTGCTCTCTGATGCTGCTTGGCCTGCTGTGTTCCTCCAGCTCCACACTGTGTTATCACAGTTTGAAAACTGTTGTTTAACATTAGTTTTATTAAGATTTATCAATCCATAAAGAAGGCTGAAAAGATCGCTGGAAAGATTTGCAAGAATGATTCTGGAATTGAGAGGTTGCACCCATCAAGAAAATATGAACAAACCTAGTCTTTTATCTTTAGCAAACTGAAGTCTGATGGGTTAACCAGATAGAAGTCTTTACGGTTATAAAACCAATTGATTGGATGAATATAGACTGATTTGTGCCAATATTTATGTTTCATTCTCGCCCGCTCTGACTCTATTCTGATCCCATTATCTTGTTTTTCTATTCCTTTTTCTCTGATTGACATTTCTAGCTTACACTGAAGGTATTATTTCACTCAGCTATTCCATTTGTTTGTGTGTTCCGCATTCTAATCATTCTCTGTTACCTATTGATGCTTTCAAAGGTTCTTTCTCCCAAGGTCCAATTTACTGCTTGACTTCTTGAAGTTGACTTAAGCACATTGCTTAGGCTTGGCAAAGGCAGTTCTCTTCAGACTTATCACCATTCATTCATTGACTCTTCATTGTAAAGGACACTCTATACAATGAACAGTTGCTGCTTGTCATAGCTGGCACATATTCCACTAGCTTTTGAAAGCACTTTGGAAACACTTGTTGATGGAGAAGGTAAGAAGAAACCAGAAGTTAAATTGCTTGCATTGGTGGTCATTCATGTAGAATCACAGAATAACTCAGCACTAAAGTAGGCCATTTGACCCATTATACATGTGCTGCCTCTCTATTAGAGCTATCCAATTAATCACATCCCTGCTTTCTCCTTGTAGCTCTGTAAACATATTCCTTTCAAGTATTTAATTTTGTTTTGAATAATGCCATTGAATCTGCTTCCTCCATCCATTTCAAGCAGGTGTAATCCAGTTTACAACAACTCACTATGTAAAATAATTACCAGAATTTTCCAGGCCCTTTTTAGGATGGGCTGGTAGACAAAAACACTGGCAAAATGGTGTGGGGAAGTGTGAGGGTGTGCCTGATGTCTCCTAAATCTCCAGTGTTACCACTTGACCAGCACAATCATTGCAGTCTGCCTCCATGACCCCTAACATTCCCCAAATCAACTTCCTTTTCTTCAAGGGTACCCAATAACTGACCCATCCTTTTACTGTAGCTACAGTCTTGGCAATGGCCACTCTGATTAAGATGGCAGCTCCTGGGTGTTTGGTACTGTCTTTCCTCCAGAGGTGCTTGGCAGTACATCTCCACTGGTCACACTGCCTGCCTGAAACAGGGTCGCCTGAAATATATCTCCTCTGCTTACCGATTCTATACCACTGGAATAGTTTCTCATTATTTATTATATTGAAACCACTCATGAGTTTGAACATTCCTTTTTATAAAACCCTCATTGCTTTGAGCAGAACATGCCCAGTTTTGCTGTTTATCTGAAGTTGCTCATCATCAGTACCACTCCAGTATGTGTCTTTTTCACATTTCTCCAAGGCTTGGAACTAGGGGTCACAGTCTAAGAATAAGGGGTGAGCCATTCAGGACTGGAATGAGTAAGAATTTCTTCACATAGAGAACTGTAAGCTTGTGGAATTCCCTACCACAGAAAACTGTTAGGGCCAGTTCATTAGATATAGTCAAGAGGGAGCTGGATGTGGTCCTTGCAGCGAAAGGGATCAAGGGGTATGGGGAGAAAGTGGGTGTGGGATACTAATATTACATGATCATATTGAATGGTGGTGCAGACTCGAAGGGCGAAAGGCCTACTCCTGCACCTATTTTCTATATTTCTATGTTTGACTAACCTAGTTACAGTAGTCATTGTGTGATTCAGCAAGCTCGATAAGGAGTCACTTACGTGACTGAGCTGGTTGTAGTAGTCACCTAGTAGCAACTTCAATCACTAGGGGAAAAATTCCTTTTAGCAGTTTTGCACCTGAAACATAAGTGATGAGATGGGATGGAGACCCTACTATTGACATGCAGCGCTCACTTGATGCCACAGAATGTGGTGTCATGCACTAATTGTGTGATTTTGATGCAAAATTTGTGTACAAACGGGCAAAACTAGCATCCCCTACATGCACAGAAGTACTCAAGGTTATTGTGGGTCCAGCTCGCCCCCTTCCCTTTTTACGACCTGCCCTGCAGCATTACATTGACAGGCTGATTTCGGAGAGCATGACCAGGCTACTTCATTCTCAGCTCCTACAAGAGAAAATATCATTTGACACATTTGAGAATCAGCGAGTTTCAAATTATTCATTAGCTATCCCTGTCACTGTTTGACATCCTGAGGATAGAAGGTTTGCTCTTCCCTTCCCATGCTGAAGGACGGAACTGTGGGCCAGGTTGGTGCTGCAGCTGACCAAGCCTCGACTGACCAACTCCACCAAGGTACCCATTTGTTTTCGTAAGTCATTGTTTCCATTTAAAAGTGGTCCAATACTGGTTTCTTCTGGGGTCTCGGACTGGAATTGGGCCTGTGTAAACTGATTGCTGTACTACAACTATCCAATATAGGTGAGAATCAGGTTCCCCTTCCGCTGTGTGATTGAAGAAATTAATTACTGAGACCCTAGTGATTACATCTTGGGGATTATTTGAGTTTGAATAGAGCTGATGTAGAACCATTTTTTTAAATGGAGACTGAGCTAAGCCAGTTAATTTAACAAGTTTGGGTGGATCTTGACTTTGCATAATAGTACAAATCAGATGATAGCAAGTCTTCAACGTGTTTTGGATCTTGTGGCATAGCAGTAGTGTCCCTGCCTCTAAGACAGAAGATTCAGGTTCAAGTCCCATGTGCTCCAGAAGTGTGTAATAACATCACTGAACAGACTCATTAGAAAATACCTACATTGCTTCAGATTTTACTGTGTGATTCAATCTGTCACACTTAGGATGACCGAGAGCATGAGGTTTGCTAACTGGAATGGGTGTGATGTGACCTTAAGTACCCGCTTGGCCAAAACATCCATGAATATTTTGTGCTGTCTCAGCTTTAATTCAGAATTTTTGTTTTTGTGTCCCATACTAAATGTTTAATTGTATGTGGTTCTGTGTAATGTGCCAAATTTCACTCTGATCCTATCATTTCCAGCTGGGAGTTTTCTTGATGATGACCTTGAGGTGCAGCATATTCCATATTCACCACAGCGTTACTCAGAGGATGAAATGATCCGCAGAGCCAATGAGTTTTACCATCTGATGAATGCACGAAGAAGTGTCCGCTTTATCAGTGAAGAAGCAGTACCCAGGGAGGTGATTGACAACATTATTAGGACAGCAGGTATGACCAGACACAGTTCTGACAAAACAAAAAGCCAGAATTTCAACAGAATTCCAGAGCAGCAAGCTTCAAATGATTAATTGGCTACCTGTCACTGTTGGACATCCTGAGGACGTAAGGTTCACTTCTCCTTTCCTACTTCAAATTGTGTGCCTTTCCTCCATTCTTCTTCCTTCTCACCTTCTTTCTTTCATTCTTCCTGGCTATTGCTACTTCCGATCTCTTCTGTCTCCCTGCTTTCCTTCCAGTCCCTCTATCCTCTTTCCTGCCTTCTTTTCCTTCCTTGCTACCTTTCTCTTGATCCTGTTCTCCATTTCAGGCCTCACCCCGTCTCACTCCTTTCCTACCCATCCTTTCTTTTTTATTCTTTACCTCTCTGTTATCTCCTGACTTGTTCCTCCTACTTTTCTTTCTTTTTCATCTTTCCTCCCCCTTCCTTCGCTCTCTGTCTCTCCACTTCCTTCATTGCTGTTTCTCTCCCCTTCCATTTTTTTTTTTTTACTTCCTACCTCTTTCTTCTACCTCTCTGCTCTACCTTCCTTTCTGTCCTCTGTCCCTCTTTCTACTCTCCCTTCAGTTCCTTGGTCTTGCTCCCTTTCTGTGCCTCAACTAGTTGAGTCTTAAGATTCACTCCCTTACAAGTTGAATTTAAAATGAAGTTCACTCCTATTTTAAGAATTCACTGGCTGCAGCTTTGCTCAGACCTTTTCCTATTTTGTTGGTACTACCTTGTTGGAAGTGCCGTGTAAATAAGCTTCCATTCAAGTTATGCCAGCAAAGAGTGAACAGATCCAGGGAATTTTACAATTACTCTGTGGTTGAAAGACAAGCTGTGGATCACCTCACTCTCAGGGTTGGGTTGGAAGCTGGCTGGACAACCTCTGTAGACTGGACCTGGTCTGTTATTAGACCATTTGCAGATCAACAGGGAGTAATGTGACTATTGGAAAATGTCAGTTTTTGTTCTTGAAAGTGTCGAGTGCCAACAAGCATCTATGCAATGCTTGATTTATTTCTCAGTTCAACATGAATCTAAGCAAATGTTACGGAAAGATGCAGCGCACTGTAACCTTTGATGCTAGTTTGCTTGAAGGAAAATGGAAATAACCTTCAGGAAGCCCCAGAAATGCTTTATAGCCAATTAAATGTTTTGAAATGTTATGACTGTTGGAAAAACAACAGCCTATTTGTACAAGGTTCCATAAACAGCAGTGAGGTTTGCCTGTTTTACCAATGTTGGCTGAGTGATACAGATTGGCCAGTCCAGAGGGAGAACTTGCCTAATAAAAACCAAAAGAACTGCTGATGCTGTAAATCAGGAACAAAAACAAAGTTGCTGGAAATGCTCAGCTTGTCTGGCAGCATCTGTGAAGGAAAAAACAGAGTTAACGTTTCGGGTCCAGTGACCCTTCCTCAGAACTGGGGAAGGGTCACCGGCCCCGAAATGTTAACACTGTTTTTTTCCTTCACAGATGCTGTCAGACCGGGAGAACTCACCTATTTTTCTTCAAAATATTGCCAGCCTATCTTTTTTGGCTACTTGAGAGAACTGACAGAACTTCGACTTAATATCTCTTCTGAAAGGTTTGCATCTTACATGGTTGCTCTCATGTCATCCTGGATAATGTACTATAGTTTCTGGACTGGGTCTCTGATCCACATTTTTAGCTCAGAAGTGAGAATATCGGTATAGATCTACAGGAGACTGATTTATTGAGACCCCTTAAACATCAAGGCGATTCAAGGGCTTGTGAAGACTGCACAGGGACAGTAGCCTCTCCACAGAATAGAAGCATTCTTGGTGAATATAGTTTTAAGAGATTGATCTACCTGAGGCTTGCAGCAGTGCTCCAGCGAAGCTCTGTGCAAGCTGGAAGAACAGCATCTCATTTGCCGCTTGGGAACTCTACAGCCTTCTGGACTCAGTATCGAGTTCAATAATTTTAGGGATTGAGCCCTCCCAAGTCCTTACTGCAATCCCCACACACCAGGCTTTGTTATCACAGTCTGCTATTACACACACCCATTGTTAGCCACTAACAATCCCTATTAATAGCTATTCACATTTTTAAACAGCTGCTCTTATGCTATCCCTCCTAGCTGGATCATTATCCACTCCTTTGCCCAACTGTTCTTCTTTCTCTGTGGGATCTATCCCCAACAATCATTTACACCTTACACTCTTCTCTCCGCTCCCCCCGACTCCCCCCCCCACCCACCCTGTCTTCTGCATATAAACTGACATTTTCACAGCTACCATCTGTTCTGAGGAAGGTTCACTCGATCTGAAACATTGACTCTGATTTCTCTCCGCAGATGCTGCCAGACCTACTGAGTTTTTCCAGCTACTTTTGTTTTTGTTGCTAGTAAATTATAACTGTTTCCAGGGGAGCTCCTGATTTACAGGAAACAGCTAGAGAATCATTTTGATATTTAGAGAGCGTGCTACAGTGCCTGCAATGGAGATAATATTTGTTGCTGACATTGAACAGGAGAACCTTTCCACTGGTGGAAGAGTTGATAACTAAACTGCTCTATTTCATAGAACCATAGAATCCTTACAGTTTAGAGGCAGGCAATTCAGCCCATGAAGTCCACACACTTCCCAAAAAACATCCCATCCAGACCTAGCCCCCGCCTACCATCTTTGTAACCCTGCATTTCCAATGGCTAATGCACCTAGCCTGCACATCCCTGAGCACTATGTGCGTTCCCCATGGCTAATCCACCTAACCTGCACAGTCTTTGGACTGTGGGAGGAAACCGGAGCACCTGGAGGAAACCCACACAGACTCGGGGAGAATCTGCAAACTCCATACAGACAGTCACCCAAACCTGGAATCAAATCCTTGTCCCTGGTACTGTGAGGCAGCAGAGCTAACCACTGAACCACTGTGACCTCCCCAACAAGATTAAGGTACCTGCCAAAAGTAGATTTTTTTTCCTCTGCAATGAATCATTCTGTCCAACACACTGCCCTGAAAGGATGATGTAAGCATAATCAATAATATCTTTGAAAACAGAATTGGATATACACTTGAAAGGAAACATTTGCAAGCTATGGAGAAAAAAAACAACTGAGTGAGATTGTTCCAATAGATTTAAAGAGCTGCCACAGCTACAGAGGGCCAAATGATGGCCTCCTGCGATGTAATAGTCTGTGTCTGTACATTGGCATAGTTAACAATGGCCTCAGTAAATCAGGCAATTTCCTGTTTTCTTAAAGGTACTGCTCCAAGTGGAGCGCATACAGAGCCCTGGACCTTTGTCGTCATACAAGACCCAGAGACAAAGCATCAAATTCGTGAAATAATTGAGGAGGAAGAAGAGATTAACTATATGAAGAGGATGGGAAAGAAATGGGTCTCTGACTTAAAAAAAATGAGGTACGTTCAATGACATGATGAGATCTGTTCAACAATTGATGGGAATATGTTCAGTTAAACAATCCGACCGAAAGATCACATACGCAAAAGTGCAGTTTTTCCTCAGTGTCGATCTAGACTCTGTGTTCAAATCTCTGGAATAATATTTCACCCCACACCCTTCTAATTCAGAGGCATGGAGTTGGGCCAGTTCTGCACAGTACTACAAGTGTCCCTTTAAGGGCACTACTAGCAGTATGCAAACAGATGGTATGATTAAACTAGAACATGCTTAAAGTGATGAAATCAAAATTGAAATGTCACCTTGCTGATTATTGCTGGTCGATATAGCGTAGTGCCCAATGGTCATGGATGCTCCCTGCCCCAAGTATACTGATGGGTACTGCATGCTTCCATTTCAGTGCCATTAAACCCTGCAGTAAAGAATTAAGCAATCAGAGCCACACATTTCCCCCTCTTGACTGTGTCCATCCTGGATCCATAATTCAATATCTTGGCCAAATTGAGCAGCAGATCCATGAAAAGACTTTACTTCCCTCCCCTTCCCAAAACCAGGGCCCAAAGGAATGTGGACCTAATCTACCGCCAGAAATTGGGGAGTTTCCCCCTCTGATAACTGAACAGGTGTGTCCACCCTTCATATTTTGAGCACATGTTGAAAAGAGGTTACCTTTACCTCTGGGGTGAGGCTGGGGTGGCAGCAGATCCAGTGGACATTTAGCTTTGATACTACGATATTTAAATAAATCCCCTAAACCTTCAGTTAAAGTCAATAAAATTAGTTCTGAATTGATCATTCAGAAGTCCTGAAGTAAATGGGTGGAGAAGCTGGGGTGGTGGGGGGAGTGGAAGATATTTCTTTATACAACAAATTATGATCTGGAATGGTCATCTTGAAAGTGTGGTGTAAACAAATTTAAAATGCATACTTGCACGAGTAAATTTGCATGGTTGTGGGGAAAGATCTGGGGAGTGTAGAAATAATAAGATAATTTTCAAAGAGACCAAACAAGCAAGATACATTGGCCACTTTCTATGCTGTTTGGTTCTGATATTGGGATAGCATAGGAGCAGCTGTTTAATAATGTCACAACTAACTGACAGACTGACATAAAATAGTTTAAAACTTCCACAGATTATTTTCAATACGTCTATGAGATGTGGGTCATTGGTTGGCCCAGCATTTATTACCCTTGAGAAGGTGGTGGTGAGCTGCCTTCCTAAACTGCTACAGTCCATGTGCTGTAGGTAGACCCTCAATGCTGTTAGGGAGGGAATTCCAGGGACAGTGAAAGAATGACGACATATTTCCAAGTCAGGATGGTGAGTGGATTGGAGGGGAATTTACAGGATGTGGTGTTCCCATGTATCTGCTGCTCTTTTCGATGTTAATGGGTTTGGAAGGTGTTGCTTGAGGATCTTCCAGTGAATTTCTGTCGTGCATCTTGTAGATGGCACACACTGCAGCAATTGAATGTCGATGGTTTAGAGAGTGGATGCTTATGGATATGGTGCCAGTCAAGTAGGCTGCTTTATCCTGGATGGTCTCAAATTTTTTGAGTGTCATTGGAGCTGCATTAATCCACGTAAGTGGGAAGTATTCCATCACACTTCTGACTTGTGCCTGGTTGATGGTGAACAGGTTTTGGGGGAGTCAAGAGGTAAGTTACCTGCTACAGGATTCCTTGTCCCAGACCTACTCTTGTAGCCACAGCTGAGTCTTATACCATAGAATCAAAGGATTGTAGACTCCCTACAGTGCGGAAGCAGACCATTCAGCCAATCAAGTCCACAGAGACCCTCCAAGGAACAGCCCAGTCAGATCCTACCCTAGCCCTGTAACCCTGCATTTCCTCTGACTATTTCAACCAGCCTCTACATCTCTGGGCACTATGGGCAATAGAGCATGGCGAATCCACTTAATATCTTTGGAGGAAACCCATGCAGCCATGGGGAGAATGTGCAAACTCCACGCAGACAGTTGCCTAAGGGTGGAATCGAATTCTGGTTTCTGATGCTGTGAGGCAGTAGTGCCTACCACTGAGCCACCATGCTGCCCCAACTGGACTCACCATATGAAGAGTCTAGTTCAGTTTCTTGTCAATGGTAAAGCTCAGAATGTTGAAAATGGGGGATTCAACCATTCTAATGCAATCACGTATTGAAGAATTTTAAGAATTACAGATTTGTAAAGTTTTGAGGTTTACAATCATTTTGTGCTGTTTGCTTTTGTTTGCTGTTACTGATTGGAAGAATCTCCCCCCTGTAAATAAAACTAAGCCTAAACCCCCAGGCTTGTACTTTATGGTACTATCAGTGCTGCAAATGATACTTGGCTACCGAAACTTTTTAAGGTACATATTACTGTTCTCCTGTTATAGGACAAACTGGATTAAAGACTACCTCGATACTGCACCCTATCTCATCCTTGTATTTAAACAAATTTATGGAATCCTACCCGCTGGCAAGAAGACTCATTATTACAATGAAATCAGTGTTTCAATTTCCTGTGGTATTCTCCTGGCAGCTCTGCAGGTAATCCTGATAATGTAACAGACTGTGGTTGCAGTGAATGGGTTCTACAGGATTAATTTAAGTTATTATTTTAGCAGTTTCTCCTCCCAATGCAATCTCTACTGCCACCTCCAAATAGCAGATATATCTCACAGGGAACATGAATGTGGTTAGAGTGTGACTGCAGATACGAGATAAATTGGAGAAAGGTAGAGTTGGAGTTAATAGATGCCACTTCGCAGTGTAAACCAAGTCAATCAGACAGAAGTGCTAGCAATTTTCTTTGGACATAATTCCCACAATTCCTCCTGCAAATTGCAGATTGTGGCCTTAACCTTAGCATACTCTCCCCATTCAATCCTGCAAACCACTCCTTACTAATATTCAAAGAGTTGTGCCAAAATTAGGAGACCCTGTTCTGCAGACCAGTTAAGCAACAGCCTAACATTGTCATACTTATTGAATCAAACCTTACAGCCAGTATTCCAGACTCTTCTAGCATCATCCCTGGATTTGTCCTGATCCACAAGCAGGACAGGACCGCCAGTGGTTTCGGCACACTGACATGCACTAGGGAGGGTGTTGACCTGGGAGTCCTTAATACTGACTTTGGACTCAATAAAGTTTCATGGCCTCATTTAGAACATGGGCAAAAATAAATCCTGCTGATCGCCACCAACACCCCCTCCATCAAAATGAGGAATCATTACTACTCCGTGTTGAACACGGCATAGAAAAAGCACAGAGGGTAATCGAGGTACATAACTTACTCTGGATGGAGAACTTTGATATCTGTCACCAAGAATCCACTAGCATGACCCCTATTGACCGAGCTGGATGGGTTCTGAAGGGTATAAATGCCAGACTTGACCCGTGGCAAGTGGTAAGAGAAACAGCAAAAGGAAACCCCTCCTTAACTCCATCCTCACCAATCCATCTTTCACTGATCCATGACAATATCAGTATGAGAGTGACCATCACAAAGTCCTTCTGCAGACCAAACACCAGCTCACATTAAGTATGCCCTCCCTCATGTTGGGTAGTTCTTAGATCATGTTAAATAGGATAGTTTCAGAACAGACCTAGCAGTTCAAAAACTAGGCAACTGCTTGGCACCATGGGCTGCAGCAGAATTGTAGTTAACCACAGTCTGTAACCTCGTGTTCCAGCATGTCCTTAACTCTACCATTGTCATCAAACTAGGGGATAAACCAGGGTTCAATGAGTACTGTAGGAGAGCTTTTCACGAGCAACCAAACCAAAAATGAGATGCCCACTTGGTGAAATCAAAAACAGGACTGCTTGCAAACTAAACAGATGAAGCAGCATGCAATTGACAGAGATTTAAAAAACAACTCTCTCAACTGATAGGTCAGATCAAAGCTCTGTAGTTCTGCTACACATGCACACATCCTGCCTGTGAACGTTAAGACAGCCTTGGTTCAACCATAGATGAAAAAGCAGAACTTCAGAGATGACGTGAGAGGGACTGCCCTTAACATCAAGACACCATTTGACCCAGTGAGACATCAAAGAGCTTGGCAAAATTGAAGTCCGTTGGGATCGTGGAAAATTCTTCATTGGTTGTAGCCATGTCTAGAACAAATGAAGATGGTAGTTGGCATTAGAGGTCAATCATCTAAGACCCTGAACACATCTTCATGAATTCCTCAAGAGAGTGCACTAAGCCCAGCCACGTTCAGGTGCTTCCTCAAGAACCTTCACTCCGTCATAAGTGGAATGGCCACTGCTGATTACACAGTTTTCCATACCATTTACAACATCTCAAACTGGAGCAGCCTGTGGCCATTTGCAGCAAGATCCGGATAATGGCCAATGTGTGCCAGTTGCACACATCCAGACAATCTCAATCCCTTATTGCCCTGATAGGGAACTGTCTCTAGAAGTGTCACCATCCATGCGGAGTGCACCCACAGTGATATTAGGGAAGGAACTCCAGCTCTTTGAACCAGCGACAATGAGGGAACTTGTAGTTCCAAGTCAAGGTGGTATGTGACTTGGAGGGAAACCTGTAATGCTCTTATGCATCTGCTGCCCTTGTCTATCTAGCTGGCAGAGGTTGTGGGCTCCACAGGTAGAGTTATGAAATCATACAGCATGCAAACAGTCCCTTTGGTCCAATCAGTCCATGCTGACCATAATCCCAAACTAAACTAGTCTCACATGCCTGCGCTTGGTCCATATTCCTCCAAATATTTCTTATTCATAAAATTATCTAAATGTCTTTTAAATAATGTAACTGTGTCCGCATCCACCACTTCCTCTAGAAATTCATTCCACTGTGAACCAATCTCTGTGTTTAAAAAAAAAATTGCCCCTCATATCTTTTTTAAATCTTTCTCCTCTCACCTTAAAATCATATCCCCTAGTCTTGAAATTTCTCACCCTATGGAAAATACACCTGCCATTCACCTTATCTGTACCGCTCATGATTTTATAAACCTCTAACGTCACCCCTCAACCTCCCACACTCCAGTGAAAGAAGTCGTAGCCTATCCAGCCTCTTCTTATAAGTCAAACCCTCCGTTCCCAGCAACATTCTGGTAATTCTCTTCTGAATCCTCTCCAGCTTAATAACAGGACGCAGTACTCCAGAATAGACTTCACCAACATCCTGTACAATCTCAACATAACATCCCAACTCCAATACTCAAAGGTCTGATCAATGAAGGTAAGCTTACTAAACAGAGATAGTAGGGACTGCAGATGCTGGAGAATCTGAGATAACAAGGTGTAGAGCTGGATGAACACAGCAGGCCAAGCAGCATCAGAGGAGCAGGAAGGCTGACGTTTTGGGCCTAGACCCTTCTTCAGAAAATCTAGGCCTGAAACGTCAGCCTGCCTGCTGTGTTCATCCAGCTGTACACCTTGTTATCTCAAGCTTACTAAACAACTTCTTTAACCCCCTTATCTATATGTGAATCAAACTTCAAAGAGCCCCGCTCTGTTCTACAACACTATCCAAGGCCATACTTTTAATTGTATAATTCCTACCCTTGTTTGTTTTACTAAAGTGCAATACCTCACATTAATCCAAATTAAACTCCATCTGCCACTCTTCAGCCCATTGACCCAGTTGATCAAGATCTCTTTGTAATCTTAGATAATCATCTTCACTGTCCACTGTTCTGTCAAAGGAGCCTTAGCTAATCTTGTAGATCACACAGATTTCAGCCAATAGATACCAGGGTTGAAGGAAGTGATGGTTTAAGACCAAGACTGGGATCTGATCGTATGGATCATACTTTTTGATGTTGTTAGAGCTTTATTCATTCAGACAAAGGGACTGTATTCCAGCAGCCTTCTGATTTGGGAAGATTTGGAGCTGGAAATGATGAAACAGACTGAATTCATTATCTAGACATTAGAAAGACATAGTTGCACTCCACCATCAATGAAGATAACGACAATTGGAAATGATTATTAATGGAGACCTTTGAGACTGAAATTTTGAGCCCTGTTGATATTGAGAACAAGGATGCACAGGAACTTAAAAATACCTGCCTTAGCTTTCTGACCATGTTACCTCCATTGACCATTTTTATTAAGCTCAGCTCAGGCCCTCTCAGGCCTATCCATCCCTAGGAGGCAGGCAGCAATTAGACTCAGCAAGAGCTCTGTTAGACTCGGTGAAAGTAAGTCAGCTGTGATTTTCCAGTTCCCCAACACAACATGAGGTAAGTACCCAGCAGCAGGCTGAGTGACCATGTCCTGTACAGGCCGTAACTTTCCCTGCCTGCATTGATGGTGGTGCAGTAAAAGGCTGCCCTGTAGAGGGATTCCTCTCCATCTCCCCTCCGTCTCCTCACCCCCTCAAGGACTCCATATAGAAGTGCCCTCTGAGTTAATGACCCATTACTGAAGCCTTTGGTTCCCCTAAAGCTTGGAGGGTCTATGATTTCCCATTCAGCTAGGGCACGCATTGTTGATTGGAATGTGGTGCTGAAACTTGTGCTTCAGTACCAGCTACGCAGGTAACCATTAGCAGTGTTCCATCTCAGCAATAATACTGGCATCTACCCAACAAAGGAGGAAGGCAGTCATGAACCGATAATGACACTGGATTGATGGTGCAGAACCCCAGACTAATGTTCTGGGGGCTGGGGGATTGTGGTTTTGAATACCATCATGAAAGATATGAAATGTGAATTCAATTAAAAAAAATCTGTAATGAAAAGCTATTTTATGGGGACCATGTAATCAATGTCAATTATTGTAAAAGCCCCTCTGGATCACCGATGTCCTTTAGGGTAGAAAATTTGTCATACATACCTGGTCTGGCCTACAACCCCACAGCAACGTGGTTGGGCAATTTGGAATAGCCAATAAACACTGACACAGCCAGAGAAACTGACCGCCTATGAGCAATGCAAAAAAAACGTGGAAATTGTCCAAGTATGTCTTGTCCCTAAAAAGGTAGAACAGACCCAACCTGACCAATTAACTCTGTTCCTGTCAATCATTGGCTTTTAAGTGGCACCCACCCATCAATAACTGGCTCACCAGTGCTCAATTTGGGTTTCAAAAGGACCACACTTTACCTAAAAGCATTGAGTGTGGATTAGGGATGGATAATAAAGGTTGGCCTTCCCAGTTACATTAACTTTACATGTATGAATAAGAAGTGTTATCACTGAGCCACAGCTTGAAAGGACAAATACATCAGTCTTCAAGAACTTTGTTGTTGTGTAGTGGCCTCCTCCTAAAAAAAAAGCTCTGTTCAGCCATATTATGACACACCTTCAGGGCAGGTGGGACTTGAATCTTCAGACCCAAAGTACAGCAAACTTTGTTTTGACCAGCACCTTAATGACCTGGCAATCTTGATAAACTGGCAAAAATTATGTACCTCAATACCACAAAGTTTGCCCTATTATTCTGTTCATTTATTCTAGTTTATTTAATTTATTTACCTCAATGTAAATATACTTGTTGCTCAATTGAATGGCCACACGAAATATTGACAATTGATTCAATTTTGAGTCAAATACCACGATCCACCACAATGTCAGAGTGGTCAGTTGAAGGTGTGAATGAGAAGGCTGTCTGCTGGTAAGTTTTATTTAAGGCAAAGTTGCATTATTATTTAAGTGATTCATACCGTACATCATGTATAACACTGATGTGTATGCCCCCTGCATTACGTTTCTATTACTTGCTGTGTGTTTTTACATTGATTATGTGGACCTCTTTAATTATCCGGAATATTTGATCAATTGGCACATTACTGGTACCATAAGTGCCAGACAATAAAATGTTTACTGCAATTTATTTTTAATTAACCTGTTTGGACATGTTATGACACACTTCCAGAGCAGGTGGACTTGAACCCAGACCCAAAGTAGTTTACTTTTAATTAACACGTTATGATACACCTCCTTAGCCATCACAACCTGAGGTGAGGCTTGAACCTGGACCTCCTTGGCCCTGAAGTCAGGACAATATTACTGCATTACAAGGTGCCAAGCATAGAATCCTGCCCTATTCTTTTAAATGAATCTCATAACCAAATCTTGGGATTGACAGCTTCTTAGGGGCACTATAATTATATCAAAATTTCAAAGGGAACTTCTCAAATTTACATATTATTTGGAGGAGTGATCGTACACCCCATCGTTACATCTGTCCACCGTTTGTGGAAGGCCAGCAGCATGCTGGCGGACAGAGTAAACTCCTTCTCCAAGGGCACTCGGGAACAGACATAACCATCAAAGAGAAGCAGGCAGTCAGTTGCAATCGCTCTTAAAATCGACCAACAATCACGGTGGGATTTGAACCTGTATGTCTGGCAGAGCTTTTGGTTTGCTTGTCTAGTGATATTACTCTTGTCTCTCCATAAACTAATGTAAGTTGTTGAGCACAGGCAGAGGGGAAATAATTGCAAGCCTTTATTTTTAACCAGTCTGTTTGAACATGTTATGATATGACCCTCTGTGGCAGATGGGATTTGGACTCAGTTTCAGACAGCACTACCTCTATCAGTACCCCAAAAGACCCTATTGTAGCCCCCTCTCTGTAAACCTTTGGGCTCATTAGCAAATAGCAGGTTGGGGATTTGCTATATAGTCGGTTCTGCTATAACACGTGTTCTGGCAATGCAAGTTGGCTATAACGCACCTGATGAATAGGGGAACACTATTTCTAAAACGTGAACTTGTATTGGCTATAACGCAATTCCATCGGTGCATGGAGGAGTATGTGCCAACATCACATGATCGTTTCATTGGTTTTGTCCTGAATACACCCTAACCCTGCAACCACAACTGCACCTGAGGGTGGTGGTGATGATGATGATGATGATGACGACGATGACGATGACCTTTCAGCCCCTGCATTAACAACAGAGCAACTTCAAAACCATCTCCCCATTAGGTCGCCTTGACATTTTTTTCAAGGTAAGGTGTTACATTTACTTTTAATTCATTATTAGGTATGAATTAAACATTTATTCAAACTGTGCTATCCTTTGTGTTAGGCTTCGGGGTGATTTTGAGTGATATTTTTAGGTGGTCTGCCTCTAACCCCGCTTTTCCCACAGGCCCTGTTATTTCTATAGCACGATGTTGCGCAGGAACACAGCTATCCCGTTCTGGCAGAACCGACTGTAATTGGTTTTAATGATAAAACAACATCAAGTGCATAATATTAATTCCCAGCTGGAGTGGATCCTGCTGAAACAGCAACTTAATTTAGAATTAGGTTTTATGGTCATGTGTACTCAAGTACAGGGATACAGGAGTACAGAGAGAAGTTTACAATGTTGCCATTCACAGCCCCACCTGAGGTACAAGGTATTGCAGTTAAAAAAATCTTAGGTAAAAAGGAATGATGGAATAAATTAAAGTTCAGCATTACAGTTCTTAACAGTGTTAAAGCAATAAATAAGTAATAAAGTTAAAAGTTCCCAATTACAGTTCTTCTTTAGCCATGAGCCTGCAGTTGCTTCAAGCTGGGCTTTCCCCACGAGGGCTCAAATCTCTCTCCCACGTGTTTAGTGTTCTTAGCTCAGCCCAGGTCAGCGATGAATTTGTGAAATGAAATTTTAATGAAGCATTTGTGTTCCTCCTCCATCCCCACAGAATGCTGGCCTTGTGACAGTCACTACAACTCCTCTGAATTGTGGTCCTCGGGTGCGTGTTCTTCTTGGGCGCCCAGAGAATGAAAAGCTGCTGCTGCTGTTGCCAGTTGGTTACCCAGCAAAAGATGCTACTGTACCAGATTTTAACCGCAAGCCACTGGATGAGATTATGGTGTCTGTGTGACTTGAAGTGCGTTGAAAATTCTGCAGACTGTTTCTAGCACTTTAGTAGTTGGAATGTCTCAATATAAGCCTGCGAAGACAGGACTGCACCTTGACCAATCTCATGATGTTGGAAATCTATGTCGCTTCATCCAGAGTCCTATTATGGAGAATTGAAGAGACCATACCCAAATTGCCATGATTTGGAATATTGAACATCTTGTTCCAACTCCTATTCTTGGGATATAGAACACTTTGTGAATCCAAATGCCTAAACCGTATACTCAATTTTTAAAAAATAACCCAAATCCCAATATTTCAAAAGTACTCAAACTCTCCATAATAGCACAACTTCCTTGAAGCTGTCAAAACTGAACCTGAAATGTCACGAACCTTGTTCTGACTTCCACTAAGAGCAAAGCTGTGCATATCTGCTTGCAACACAGACTGGCAATGGCAATTTGCTGACCTGGGAGGTTACTCCAAAGGGAGAAAAAAGGCTTTAACCAAGACACAACCAGTGGATCATAAATAACCATAATTAGTTAGATATAAAGGGAAAAGAGCTAAAGAGACTTGTAAACAAAGTAATGAGGAAGTTCATCTGCAGTCCTGTACCATTTAACGCCAAGATATTTTCAACTGACCTGCACAACCACGTATGAGAAGTGCCTCTAGTTACTCAAGCGCGGGGTCCCTAGTATTGAAAGTGCAGTCTTTAGCACAGTAAGAGTTAAAATCTCTTTGGCCATGTGACTTTGTTAATATATGCCACAATTTTATAAAGTCAGAGTCATACAGCATGGAAACAGACCCTTTGGTCCAACTCATCCACACTGACCACATTTCCCAAACTAAACTAATCCCATTTGCCTGAATTTGGCCCATATCCTTCTAAGATTGATTGTTATGATTAGTCAACAACTTCATTATTCCTGTAACATGCAAATATTAGGATGGTAGAAGATAAACTCACTGGACCGCACTCTTTTTTTATCCATAAATTATTATGTCCCATGTCACGTTTCTAAAATTTTCCAGTTTGGGAGAGGAATTTACTTCATTTTAATCTGTGCAGTATTCTTGTACCTGTCCAAATCCCTTTAAAATGTTGTAACTGTACCTGCTTCTACAACTTCCTCTGGTAGTTCATTCCATGTAAGAACCACTGTGTGCCAAAATTGCCCCTCATATCCCTTTTAAATCTTTCTCCTCTCACCTTAAAATTATGCCCTCTAGATGGAATTCCCTGATCCCAGGGAAAAGACCTTTGCTATTCACCTTATCTATGTTACCCACAATTCTATAAACCTCAATAAGGTCACCCCTCAAATTCCTACACTCCAGTGAAAAATGTCCCAGCTTATCCAGCCTCTCCTTATAACTCAAACCCTCTAATCCCAGGCACATCCTTGGAAATCTTTTCTGCACTCTCGCCAATTTAATAATATCCTTGCAGTAGCAGTGCTGTAGCACAGTACTCCAAAAGTTGCCTCATTAGCGTTCAGTACAAACTCAACATGATATCTCAACTCCAAACTCAATGGTCTGAGCAATCCTAGGATTGGAGGAACATACTGACTCCCCCATCTCATCCCATTATTTCCACATCACCCAATCCCCTCATATTTCTTTCTCATCCACAAACCCTTCCTGGTCTATTTCCAGCACATTGACTGGTTCCATTTCTTTGCCTGATTGCCAGTCAAACAGCCAATTTTACTCCCATCACCATAATATTAATGAAAATTTAAAAAATACTTTAAGGTGTATCTGAATTTTCTCTAACCACTCACAGTGACATTTGGATTAATGTTTTATACCTGCTGATCACTGGACAATCCTGACTCTGGCTGTGAAGTATCAAGTCTGCCTGTGATATGATCTGTGGTAGAGCAAAACTGCTCATACTCATGGTAAAAGAAAAAATAAAGTTTGAAAATTAGAAGTAACCCCTTTTGGGCAGATAAGGAGATTTTTGTGTGCTTCAGTGAGTTGGAACCTTGTCTCAGAAGGCAGTGGATGTGGGGTCATTGAATATTTTGAAGATAGAGTTAGATAGATTTTTGTGAAGCAATGGAATCGAAAGGGTTACTGGGGACAGACAGGAATGTGAAATTTGAAACACAAACAGATCAACAATCATCTTATTAAATGGCAGAGCAGGCTAAGGGCTCCTTCTTCCTATATAGGCTTAAAAGGAGAAGAATGGTGATTTGCACTAAACTGCACAAATACCATTTTCTAACTCGATTGCATTGTGAACCAACACTTTGAAGACAATAGAAAAGTAATTGGGAAGGGGTGCAAGAGGCAGTCATGAAGAATGGATGTTCCTGTAAGGCATTCGAGTCACATATTTCCTAACAATATAAATAGTCTGAGAAATGAGCAATTTCTGTTCCCCCAGGCCATTGATTCACCTCATATCTGTAGCATCAGTCCAGGAACTCTCCATATGCCATGATAATAGAGTTTACTGGCATGTTGTTACAATACAGTTGAACACGATTATCATTCATTTATCTGAGACCTTTCATTTTGCATTGTTGATTTTCTTTCAGGTGATTTCCATTGAAATTGAATTGATAAAAATGAATTCTAACATGAAATTAGACTTGAGTTTCAATTTGACAAACTGATTTTCCCTTATCTTCATTGACTCATCAGATGAAAGCCAATTGGCTTGGGCTGGTTTTATGAAAGAGTTATCCAATCATTCCCACTCCCTTGTTCATTCCCTGCAAATATTTCCTTTACAGGTGCAACTGTGGCTCAATTGGCATCACCACTGTCTGAATCACAAGGCTGTCCCATATGATAAGGAAGCAACTCTTCACTCAAAGGCTAGTGAACCTATATATTTCTCTACCACAGGAATCAGTGGAGGCCAAGTCACTGAATATATCCAAGAATGAGATGATAACTTTCTGTGGAGAATGTGAGACTATGGCATTGAGAGAGAGGGCTGGATATGATCGTATTGAATGGCATACTCCTGCTCCTAGTTTCAGTTTCTGTGTGTGAGCAAAAATGTGAAGACTGACATTTCAGTGTAGAATTGAAGGAATACTTCACTTTTTGAAGTTCTGTTTTTCATATGGAACCTTTAATAAGATTCTTTGTATCTTGTCAAGTTGTTGTAAAACATCCCATGGCACTACCTGGAGGTTATGTTTGAAGGAAAACTGAAGCATTGGTTTTGATTCCTGCAGCAAACTCTGTTCCTGAGCTTCTGACTTGATCCCTCTAATAAGTGTTTGATAATAAAGCAGACTCCCTGCAACCAGAGTTATTGTGGTTGGTTCTCTCGCCGAGCTGGTTCGTCGTTTTTCTGCAGACGTTTTGTTACCATGCTGGGTAACGTCTTTAGTGCAGCCTCCAATGAAGTGCTGTTGTGTTTTCCTGCCTGTTATTTAAACTCTGGAGTCCGTTGAGCTGGATTACCTCACTTCCTGTTTTTCTTCGCAGCGGAGTGTATAAGGGGTCGAGGTCTATGTGTTTGTTGATGGCTTTCTTCATGGAGTACCAGGCTTCTAGGAATTCCCGTGTTTGTCTCTGCTTTGCCTGTCCCAGGATCCTGGGGTTGTCCCAGTTGAATTGGTGGTTCCTCCCTATCCATGTGGATAGAGATGAGTGAGTATTAGTCGTGTCCTTTTATAGCCAATTGGTGTTCATGTACCCTTGTTGTTAGTTTCCTTCCTGTTTGTCCAATGTAGTGTTTGTCACAGACTCTGCAGGGAATCTTGTATATGACATTGGTCCTGTCCATAGTGGGTAGTGGTCTTTGGTTCAGGTGAGCAGTTGTCGTAGGGTTGATGTGGGTTTGTGCGCTACTCTGATGCCCAGTGGTCGTAGGAGTCTTGTGGTCAGTTCAGATGTGTTCCTGATGATAGGCAGTATGGTGAGTGTGTCGAGGTGTGTAGTATCTGGTGTCGTTTGTGTAATAGGCATCTTCTGACCCAGTTTTTCGGGTATCCATTGTCTTTGAATACCTGGAAGAGGTGCTGTTCTTCTTCTTAGCGTAGCTCTGTGCTGTTGCAGTGTGTTGTTGTCCTGTGTACACAGGAAAGCCACACATACTGACCAAGTACTGAATTTCAACAGCAACCACCCGAACACACACAAACGAAGTTGCGTGAGAACATTATTTAAATGGGCAACTTCCAAATCTGAATTTTGCTTTATGCTCATTTATGACAATGCTTTCAAATTAATTGCCCTCAAAAGTATCCATGTGTATCATAAAGATGTCTGAAAGCTGCTCGTTAAGATTCAACTGAAGAGAGAACAATTTTATTATCGTAAAACTTACTGATATGGACAAAACTCCAAAGTCATCAATTAGCCTTTATAAATATTTATTGAGCTTCTAGAATGTCCCTACTCCATTTCATGTCTCCTTTGGAGGAAAATTGTGTCACTTTTGCCATTTTCCAATCTTCTCGCACATCTCCTGCATCAAGGGAAGATTAGAAGACTATGGCCAGCTCTTCCCTGCCAGCTCCTTACTCCATATCCTTCACTAATCGGGGATACAAGCCACCTACAAATCATATCCAGCCTTTCCATTACATCCTCCATATTAACGTATAATTTTCACCCTGCCCATTACCTTTACCATGTTCAACATACTGTTGTTTTATTGAAATATTCTTTCCTCAACAAAAATTCATACAAAATACTCATTACATCATCCTTCTTACCCTGCAAATATATTTCACCATTTTTATCTTAAAAAGATCCAACACTGACTCTTTTTAAAAGCTTAATATTTTTATTCTGTAAAATAATTTTGTGTTTTCTTAAAATGAACTTAAATTTTATTTTTGTATTGTTTCTTTTCTAGTTTAATTTTCTTGCTAATCTCTTCACCCAAGTTACTGCATTTGGCCAGGTTCTCACTTAAAGAACTTAACTCACCTACACCCTCCTTTTTATGTTTTCTAAGGGGCCTATGTTCACTTTGGCCTCATTCTTCCTTTCTATGTATTTTAAGAAGGTCTTACTGCCCATAACAAAATTAGAAATTATTGCCACACGTGCTGGAGTACTGAGGTACAAGGGTGCAGTGAAAAGTGTACAATGTCACCATTCCCAGCACCTTCTTAGGTACAAAGGTACCTAGGTACAAAATCTTAGATAGAAAGTAGAGAAATAAAGAAACAAAGTTAAAAATTAAATATGACAGTCTCTCAGTATTAAGTAGAAAAATAAATAATAAAGTTAAAAGTTCAACCATCTTTTTTAAGTGCTTAGCCATGCTGAGCTTGCACTCCCTACAAGGATACTTGCTAGTTTTCCCTCACAGAGACAACAAGGTGCAGAGCTGGATGAACACAGCAGGCTAAGCAGCGTCATAGGAGCAGAAAGGCTGATGTTTTGGGCCTAGACCCTTCATCAGAAAATCTCCAGTTTTCCCTCACAGTTTATTTTCCCCATTCGTATCATTTTATTTGATCACCTTTTGTTGGTTTTGAAAACTTTCCTAGTCCTCAGGTATACCATTAACTTTTGCCACATTGTACATTTTTTTTTCTTTCAATTTGGTAACATCTTAAACCTTCCTTTGCTAATCACTGTTGGTTTATTCTCTCCTTAGAATCCTTCTTCCTCACTGGGACATATCTTTCCTGTGAGCCATGAGTAATTTTCTTAAATGACTGCATTTGTTTCACAACCGTCTTTTCTGCTGAACTCCTTTTTCAGAACACTCTAACCAGCTCAGCTCTCATTCCTATATAATTGCCTCCATCCATTTGGCTTCTACATTGGCCAATCCTACAGTCTTTCTTTCTAATGTACTTATTCAATCTCATTCTAACGGAGCTACCTCATCACCATTCCCTTTCTGCTGTCCTTTTGAATAGTCACACAACATGGATTATTTATTCACAGCTATAATCTCATTGTAACCACGTCTCTGTAATGGCTATAAATTCATCCCCATTAATTTCTGTTTGTACAATGAAATCATAAAGGAGGCAGAGGCTGGATCCGGGAATTAGGAACAGACAAAAGCACATTTTGTGCAGCTATTTCTGTTACGTGAAAATACCATAGTAGATGTAAGCTCCTCAGGCCTTTGTAAACAGAGCTGAGCATGTTCTGCAGTCACTTAACTTCCAAGCTGCTTCTCAAATCACAGCTTGGTTCTCTCCTACATGAGTTTCCCTATCAGCAGAAAATGTGGACTAGAAACAGCCTCTGATTGGACAAATATGAGAGACACAAAATCTCTACTTAGAGGTCCGCACAGATACAATTTCTCCCACATTGGATGAGGAAAGTGAATGTAATATAGCCAAGTTTGTGGATGACACAACAATGGATGGGAAGGCAAGTGTTGAGGATAACAGTGAGTCTGCAGATGGACATAGACAACTGAATGGGCAAGAACTTGGCAGATGGAATATAATGCAGAAAAATGTGAGGGTATGTGTTTTGGCAGGAAGAATAGAAAAGCTGAATATCATTTAAGTGGGCAAAGACTACAGAAAGCTACAGTACGTAGGGATCTTTGTATGAATCACAAAAATCTAGTATCCAAGTTCAGTAGATCATAGTGAAAGCAAATGGAATGTAGACCTTCATTTCCAAGGGAATGGAGTATAAAAACAGTGATGTCTTGCTAAAACTATACAAGGTACTAGTCAGCCCACAGCTGGAATACTGTGAACACTTTTGGTCTCCTTATCTATAGAAAGATATACTCGCATTGGAGGCAGTCAAAAGAAGGTTCACCAAAGGGGACCAATGAAGGGAACCAATGAAGGGAAGGTGATGGTGTAGTGGTATTTTCACGGGACTGTTAATCCAGAAACCCTGGTAATATTCTGGGTAACTGGGTTCAAATCCTGCCATGACAGCAGATGGAATTTAAAAAAAAAAACTGGATTTAAGAGTCTAATGATGACCCTGTATCCACTGTTGACAGTTGGAAAGACCCATCTGGTTCACTAATGTTCTTTAGGGAAGGAAAACGTTGTCCTTACCTGGTGTGGCCTACTCTAATGTGGTTGACTCTTAACAGCCCTCTGAGCAATTGGAGATGGGCAACGAGTGCTGGCCAAGCCAGCAACACCCACATCCAGTGAATGAATAAAAACAAAGTAGGTTGATTCTAGGTATGGAGTCAGTCTCTCGAGAAGAGGTTGAAAATGTTGGACTTGTACTCATTGGAATTTTGAAGAATGAGTGGCCACCTTATTGAAATGTACACGATTCTCAGGGATGTGTGACCAGGTAGATATGGTGTTTCCCTGTGGGAGAGTCTAGAAACAGAAGGCACAATATCACCATCGGGGTCACTCATTTAAGACAGAGATGAGGAGGAATTTTGACTGTCAGAGAGCAGTGAATCTTTGGAATTCTTCACCACAGGGGCCTGTCGAGGCTTGGTCATTCATTACATTCAAGGCGGAGATGGGCAGATTTCTAACCTGGAAGGGAATCAAGGATTGTGGGGAAAAGGCAGGAACGTGGAGTTGAGGATTATCAGATTGGCCATCAAAGCAGACTCAATGGGCTAAATGACCAACTTCTGCTGCTGTATCATGTGGTCATAGTTTAAAAAATGAAAGAGTGCCCATTTAAGACAGAAATGAAGAAG